TGACTCTCTGTATTCCTTCCATCTTCTCTTGATGCTTCCTGTGTTATTCAGTATATTGCCCATAGAATCTTTCAGTATTGCAACTCAAGGCTTGAATTTTTTCTTCAGTTCTTTCAGCTTGAGAAATGCCAAGTGTGTTCTTTTACAGGGGGAGTTCCTGGGTCAGCACCTCACTTAAGTGCCCTGTGATACAATTCTGCTGTCTGGACAGTGCTAACTCCTTCACAGTGGCTTCTTTCCAATGTACATTTCTCTTCCCCACTGTGTTTTCCTCTTTATTAAATCTGAGTATGTTAGCCATTGTGCTTGGTATATATGTAAGCACATACATATGTATGCAATTTATAAATTGCTGATTCCGTTTTTCTTGGCTAAGTCAAATTGACCCACTAGCCACTCCTTGGAAGGAAGATTGAACAATCCACTTCCATAGAGATACCACCTCAAAAACCCCAGGAGGGCTAGCTATGAGTCCAAATCAACTTGACAGCAGTAAGTTTTTTTTTTTTTTTTCTTTTTTGGTAGGTCATATTGACAGAAATAGAAATGTTTACTCACCTTGTCATCATAGTCACTGGCACTATGGACTTAGCATTTGCAAGTAGCAACCAAGTAAAACCTGCTGCTATCTATGTGGGCTCATTTCCCTTTGGTGTGGAGTCTAGATTTCTACATAAGCTGAATCAGTTACTACCATTACAATTTAAAATATGGGAAACTCTTGTGCAAAGTCAATTTTCAAATAAGCTACAAACTCAGACCCAGAGTAAAATGCAAATGACTGATTCACACCTTGATGTAAATGCTTCCTGTTACCACAGCCCTTTACAGGAGATGGGTATTCCCAAGGTTCATATCACCTATGGCCTAAGTCAGTAATGGCCGAAGCTGGGTGATGGGTAAATGGGAATGCATGATCCTCTCCTCTCTTCTTTATAGATGTTTGAAATTTCCAATAATAAAAAGTTAAAAATATATCCCTTAGGGCTATGTTGTGCCCTTTCCATAGGAGCATAGGTTCAGAAATGCATATATTTTTTACTTACAAATATTCATCTGACCAAAATTTAATATAACTTTTATATAACACTTAATAATTATTTTATTTGTAATATAACATTTCATTCAAACTATATATAATTCAGTAGTTTTTAAACAGTAAACCATGTTTAAACCTTAGGAAATCTGTGGAAAAGAGATTTTCACACAAAATAAGAAAATTCTGACTTATCCTTCACACACACACACACACACACACACACATATCCTTACTGAGCCGTGTGCACAAACATACCCATACACACATGCCTGTGTATGTACACACATTCATTTATCACCCACAAAGTAGCTGCAGCATAGACAGAAAAATTGTAGGTCCAAAGGAAAATGATGATTGATTGTTCTAATAAAGACTCCAGGTAGCTCAGAAAACAAAACAAAACAAAGCACAATTGTCCTCTGAGGCAATTACTACCTCAAAAGAAATGCTCTCAAGATGAATTGGGTCTGATTGGTGAGCTTTTGAATTCCAGCCCCACCACATAAGGCTGTGTAGCTGTGAGTGAACATCTTTGCTCTTTCTTCTCCTCATTGGTACAGTGAGAATAACGGAACAATAATGGCCCAGCCATGGGTTGTTGTGAGATTTAAATTCAGGGATGTATGTCCAGTGTATACACAAGTTACTGCCTGGCACCAGCAAGTGATCAAAAAACTTAGCTATTGCTACAGTATTTAGATAACAATAAAAACCAAAAAACAATAATGTCAACTCTATTCCAACTCATAGATACCTTATAGGATAGAGTAGAACTGACTGTTGAAGAACTTCTATGTTAAGCCATCCATAAGAAGTGCTGGTGGCACAATGGCTAAGTGTTCGACTGTTAACCAAAACATTGGTGGTTTGAACCCATCCAGCCACTCTGTGGGAGAAAGACCTAGAGATCTGCTTCCTACTCTGTTACGTGAGGTGGCTGTGGGTCGGAATTGGCTTGAAAGGCTGCTGTGATCACCACTGTACCACCAATGAGGAGCTCTGGTGGCTAAGTGCCTAAGGCATTTGACTACTATCCAGAAGGCGGCTGTTCAAACCTGCCAGCCACTCCTCGGAAGGATGGTTGGGCAATCTGCTTCAGTAGAGCTACTGCCTTGGAAACTCAAGGAGGGGTCGCTATGTTGGATATGACTCAATGGCAGTGAGTATACCACTAATGCTGACTTGATGGTACCCCAAAACAACAGCAAAACCTTCCATAGAAGGTTTAGGTTTCTGATTCAGTATTTGCTATTCAACTCTCTGTGCCATTACAAGTAGACACAAAAAAATATTTTCTCTGAAAGTTAATTAAATAGAACTACAACAAGTAATTGTTAAGACAGTGCCTAAAAGTATGGAGTTTAGTGTTCACAGATTCTGGGTTTTAAATCCTTAGTTTGTCGTTTATTAACTAAGTGATCTTTGCCAAGTTAATAAACATTACTTGTTTTAGTTTCTTCATCTGTAAAGAGAAGATGTTTACAAAGATTAATTGGGATGCTAGGGAGTGTTGAGCACAGAGCCCAGCACATACAAAGCACTCAAGAAATAGTTGCTGTTTTAAAAATATATTTTTACTATCAGTCCTAATAAGTAATAACAATAACAATTATATTTCATTCATTTATCAAATCTTTGTGGAGTGTGTACTGTGTGCCAGGCATGATTCTAGGATACAGCAATGAACAACATACACAAAGGCCTATCAGTCATAGACAATAAACAAATCAACAAATATGTTAACAAATATTAGGTGGTGACAAGTGCTTTGAAGACAAGTAAAGCAGGATAAGTGAGGTGGAGAGTGTCTGGGAGTGTGTGTAAGGTGGAGGGTGTAGAGTTATTTTATATATAGGCTGTTCTGAGAAGCCCTCTTGTAAAGGTGATATTTGAACGTAAGTAGTGGGAGAGCCATGTGGCTATCTAGGGGGAAGAGCTTTGCACACAGAGGAAATAGAAAGTATAGATGCATTGGCCAGAGAAGAGAATGTGTGGTTCAAGGAGCTGTAGGGAACAATGTGGCTGGAACAGAGTGAGTGCAGTGGGAAGCCAGATCCGAAGGGCCTGGCTGGTCCCAGAAAGGAGTTTTGGATTTTATTGTCAATGAGGGCAGCAGCCAGAGTCTAGTTTTAAGCAAGGGGTGACATGATCCCTCTTAGATTTTAAAAGATTTCATCTGGAAGCTGTATCAATAATGATTATAGGGGAACAAAGAGGGGAAGCGAGACTTTTATTGTAATCCTGGCAAAAAAGTTGATGGTAGTATGGGGTTTAGTGTGAAGTGGATAACTTCTGGGTATATTTTAAAGAAAGAGTAGAGATGATGATGGCTTAGAAGTTGTGTTCAGCTCTACCTCACCTTTGTGGAATTACAGGAGGGAGGTGTACAGATATTTTTCTGCAAAGACACCTGATGGACCTCTGTGTGAATTAGCAAAAGGTTATCTCTTCTCAGCGGACACATTCTACGAATAACTTTTGTTTTGAGTAATAGCTGCAGATAGAAAAGCAAAAACAATACAGGTGACATAAGATAGGACTTGGTTGCTGAAGACCCTGGGGACAGACCCCCTCTTTTTTTCCTCTCTATCTCCTCTTTTACCTCCCTTCACCACTCCTTTTTTTCATTTTGGGTAGCCTTGCCCCCTTTTATTTTCAATGTTCTTTGCCTGTGTGTGTGTGTGTGTATATATGTGTATGTATACCTTTAAAAACATCTTATATGCTCAATAAAAATTATCTCTCAGATTTTTAGTGGGTTTTTTTTTTTTTTTTTTTAGTATGAGGCCTCTTAACCTTGGCACGGTATAAATTGGAAAACCAAATCCACTGCCATCAAGTCAATTCCAACTCATAGTGACCCTATAGAACTGAGTAGAACTGCCCCATAGGGTTTTCAAGGCTGTAAGTATGGAAGCAGACTGCCTCATCTTTCTCCCACAGTGCAGCTGGTGCAGAACTGCCAACGTTTGGTTAGCAGCCAAGTGCTTTAACCACTGTACCACCAGGGCTCACTGGGCATAATAATAGGTGTGATCAGGGTGCTGGTACATGGAATATATTTCTGTCATTATGTCTATGTTTTCATTATAGTCAAAGGAAGGAATAAAAGAGTGAGAAGGAAGCATCAACTGTGTAAGATGTTATGAAAGCCCTGTTCAATCTCATCTCTTTTCATCTTCATAGCAACCCTGGGAGGCAGCTTTTATTACTCTCATTTTACAGATGAGGAAACAAACTCTAAGTGAAATTAAGAAAGTTCCCCAAAGTCACATGGTCAGAAATTAGTAAGGTATTGGACTGTAACCAAAGGCTGTATGCTTCTGTTGAATCCCAGAGTCCACAATGTCCTTAGTAATGTATTCCTCCAGTTGTGTTAACAGAATAGTCTCCTGGGGGGAGGGAGGGAGGAAAGCTAAATTATGTCAATATGTTTAGGACTGATAGATGAGAGAATATATTAATTCATCAGCTATTCATCTGTATTACATTGATGTTGTTGTTGTTATGTGCCGTCAAGTCAGCCCTGACTCATAGCGACCCCTCCTTGGGTTTCCGAGGCAGTATCACTACAGAAGTAGGATTGCCCAACCTTCCTTCCGAGGAGTGGCTGGTGGGTTTGAACCGCCAGCCGTCTGGTTAGCAGGCAAGTGTCTTAGCCACTATGCTACCAGAGCTCCTTATTACATTGATAGATGTAAGAAAACATTAATATGTTTAGTGCCCTGGGGCAAATTATTTGTCCTAAGAGAAAGAGTATGAAGAAATTCATATAAAACTGTGAGATGTGTGAATTCTAATTTTTCAGTCTAACTCTGTTTTGCCTTCTGTTTCAAAAATGATCCCAAGGGACTACAAAGCCTCTATGTGCTGTGCTCTTTGGAATGGTCTCTGTGACTTTGGAGATTGTTGTGGGATTTGAGATCAGTGAACATTTGAGTTGTTGGTTTCTTCTTTGCAGGCCTATAATGGGCACCATCAAGCCTTGGAAGTCCTTCTGCAGTCACTGGTAGACCTGGACATCAGGGACGAGAAAGGCCGCACTGCTCTGGACCTGGCTGCCTTTAAGGGACACACGGAATGTGTGGAAGCACTTATCAATCAGGGTGCATCCATCTTAGTGAAAGACAATGTAACCAAAAGAACCCCCCTTCATGCCTCAGGTAGGTCTTGTCAAGGGTCTGGCTAGTGTTTTAGCTATGATTGTGGTTACCCTAGTTCTTTGACCCAATTTTAAGTTTGAGTAAAAGAACAGTAATGTCTTCTTTCATCCCAAAATTATTTTTTTTTAATATTTTTTAAAACATCCATTTACTTTTTGCATTAGGCAGGACTACATGCCTTTAAGATGCTATTGCCTTCTATCCACTTAGAGATGATTGGTGTTGTCTGACCAGATAGGTTCTGGATTTCTTCATGTGATCACCTTACTTGAAAAGTCAGAACTAATGGATACTGCAAAACTTACTGAATAAAGTAATGTGATCTTCAGAATAAGTTACATAGAACAAAACATTAAAGTTACACAGCATTTTAAAGCATAAAATAAGGATATTTCAGGACTGTTTCATAAAAGGAGTCATCAGACAGCAGTCTAATCAACATATCATTCTGCCGGCCTAAAGATGTTTCTTAGCTTTTGCTTTGATTTTTATGCATCAGGTATAAAAATAGACTCTCTTAAAAAGTGCATACATATGTTGTTGTTATTTGCCATTGATTCAGATCGGACTCATAGCAACCCCTCCTTGGGTTTCTGAGGCGGTATCACTACGGAAGTAGATTGCCCAACCTTCCTTCCGAGGAGTGGCTGGTGGGTTTGAACTGCCAGCCTTCTGGTTAGCAGTCAAGTGCCTTAGGCACTTTGCTACCAGAGCTCCTTAGAGCTTATATATATATAAATAAAGTGCATGTATATATATCAGTGCGGAAGGAAGGTTGGACAATCTACTTCCGTAGTGATACCGCTTCGGAAACCCAAGGAGGGGTCACTGTGAGTTGTCTCCATAACACTGTGAGTATGGCACATAACAACAACAACATATCAGTGAGTCATTTACCTGTTCTGTAATTGTTCTCCAATGTATGTGAAATAAAACTGTCAAGACACTTCTAGAGATATAAACCAGTGGAGTGGATTCTGACTCATGGCACCCTCGTGTCAGAGTAGAACTGTGCTCCAGAGGATTTTCAATGGCTGACTTTTTAGAAGTAGCCCAGGCTTCAAACCACCAACGTTTCAAGTAGCAGTTGAGCACATTCACCGTTTGCACCACCCAGGGACTACACAAATATAAAAGTCATGTGGAAGAATCTCAAGCTCAGCTAACACATAAATATCACGGGGCTCAGGAAATCCATTGATCTAGCCTTTGATCAGGGTAGTCAATATCATCTTATAAGGAGAAATAACTGTCTTACATGGTGAAACAATGGGTGTGTTGACAAAACAAAGGAATAAGGATAATTTTTGAAAAGGAGAAACGTTTTCCTACACTATTAGACCTCATGGGAGCTCTGGTAATGTCGTGCCTAAGGCACTTGACTGCTAACCTGAAGGCTGGAGGTTCAAACCCACCAGCCACTCCTTGGAAGGAAGGTTGAACAAATCTACTTCTGTAGAGATACTGCCTGGGAAACCCAAGGAGGGGTTGCTATGAGTCAGGTCCTACTCGATGGCATATAACAACAACATTAGACCTTGTAGAAGTATTTTCTTCTACATTCTGTACATCCAAATCACTGAAGAAAAACAATATAGAGATTGGAAAAACCTGACTGTTGCCTAATTACCTGGAAACGATTTTTGCTGGAAAAGATTTTAGCTATGAGGGCAGCAATGGTTGGTGTGGTTGAGTTATAAATTCTTATTTTCCATCACATTTAGTCCTCTCTTTGCTCCCTAAGCCTTCTTTATTATTATTATGGTGTAATAATAAAATTCAATTTATTACTATTGTAAGGTTCAAATTTAATTCTCCTTCTATAAGATTAGTTGCCTGTTACTAAGGCAAGCATCCTACTTAGCTATCAAGTAATTTCTAACAATTACAAAGGACTTATTTTGATGGTAAACAGGTAAACAATGAAGAATGTCATTTTCACACATTGGCCACTGTCCTGTAGGTTATGGTCTAATGGAGCCCTCTCGTGGTCAAGAACACTCACTCCATTTGGATTTCCCCCTGTCATTCATTGAAAAGACTCAGGCTGTCATTTGATTCTGTTCTCTACAAAATGTCTGCTGTACGGAAGCTTTAGCCTGTGCTTTAAGGATCTGCTTACCCAGAATCTCTTTCAGCTAATTTGAGGAGCCAATTTTTCTGTTTCAAATCCTGGGAGTACCGCTAGGAACAGGAGCCAAGATGGATATTAGAAATTCTGGCAGAGATAGTTGCAGTGACATTTGTGGTCTTTAAGCAGCATGAAAAATGGCTGTCACTCATAGCCAGGGAAAGGATGGGCTACTGTGAGACAAAGCTGGGTTTGGCGGGGCAAAGCTGAAGGAGAGATTCCTAGAAGGCAACTGAGGAGAAAAAGGTGGTGTGAGGGAAGGCCAGGAGAATTTTAGTTTGGTTACACTTTTACAATAAGGGGACTTACATTTGCCTGAAGGGTATCAGTCAAATTAAAAAGCTGTTTTTTAAAAAAAGGCTGTAAAGGTGGATTTGCTTTCCAACACACTGGGTGAAAAGATAAAAACGTAGATTTTTTTTTTTAGCTTTTTCTGTTTTGCCAAAAATCAAATATCCTTGGAATTGTTATAATTATGAATATTTAAAGACTGTCAAATTGATACTGAAAGAGGAACTTGTGAAAATATGCTATTCCTGCCCCTTCATGAAGCCATCACTGTATTCATCTCTCAGCTAATCATTTCCTTTTTGGCATACCTTAAGCTCTTAGCACAGTTCATCAGTGATAATAGATTCAATGTAATTTCTAAAACCAAAAAGCAAACAACAACACATTACCTGTACTCTAATGCACAAATTTCCTCCTGAGACACATTATGGAATGTCTCTGAGAATGAGCTGAATGCAGTGGTATAAAAAATGTGGGTATTATTCCTGTGGTTAATTTGAGTGGTGTCAATGAATGTGAATGAATTCTAGCATGTATTGTCCCTGAAAAATGTGTCATTGTTAAATTACCATTCTCTCATGACTGGCATGCAATAAAAAGGCCTGTAAAAAGAGCTCTTAGAAGGGCCTTTATCAACCTAACATAGCTGCATCTATTCCCTTCTCTTTCCACATCCATAACGAGGTAAATGCAATGCATTTTATGGTGTTTCACTGTTGAGAGAGGAGAGAAAGTCGCGTTTGGAATTTTAAAGATACTTGTTCTCATCTTATTCCCTGAGTGGAAAAAGCCATGTCTATTGTAAATCTCTGAGTTACATTCTAGAAGCTGGAGAAAGTACTTTGCTCCAGGGGATTATCACATGATGTTTGCTGCCCAGCTCCATGTGTACTTCCTGAAAGAAGTAAGGGGTGAGGACACAGCCTTCCCAAGGGTACACCAGGAGAAGGAGGGCCCAGGTGAGGGCAGAGAAGGGGCTAGGAAGGAGCTCCAAGGAAACCTTAGTAGGAGGACAGCAGAGGAAAGGAGAGGAGGGAAGCAGTAGGACCCCTACCTGCAGGATGCTTGCGACACTTTGGAAGGCAAACGTGATGGGCTCTGGTTTCAGGAACTCTGGGGCCCCAGATCATATATTTAACTCAGTGTGTAAGATGACTCAGAAAACAGGGAGAGCCTCTGTGCCTCTCTCTTCTTTCCCTCTCCCAGTCTCCCAGTCCTTTTCCTTTCCCCTGTTTTTAACTACTTCCTTCCTTCCCCCCCCCCTTCCTTCCCTTTCCTCTTTTTTAAAAAAGTGCTGGAGGCAGGGTGAACACAGGATGATTGCATAGAATTTGGTGACTCCCTTAGAGGAACAAAAAGGGTAACTGAAAAATCAGGAAAGATTATCCATCCTATACAAGGAAATAAGGATGGTGTCAAGAACCAATTTAAGAAAACCTCTGATAAAGCAACCAGCAAAGGAAGGTAAGGACCAAAGTGCTCTGACTGGAAGAAAGAGGAAGATGGCTTAGTAAAACAACCGTTCCAACACACTGTGCCCAGAAGCTATCATGAACTGAAAACCTAGGAATATCTGTCAGCAACAGTTGAAAACTACCGATTTGGAGTCCAATTAAATTTCATATTGGAGGCATATATAATGCTGGTCTCTTAAAAGAATGTTCATTATTTTCTTCTTCAGTAATTAATGGTCACACACTGTGTCTACGGCTGTTACTAGAAATTGCTGACAACCCAGAAGTGGTTGATGTGAAAGATGCCAAAGGACAGTAAGTGCTTTCATACCTGGGCTTGGGTTGACATTTCAAAAACAGTAGGTAATTTCCTAATTTTTTAAGCAGCTGGGAGAGCGGGCTGCTGTATTAGATTGAGGGTATATCTGCCAGCACCATCATCGGTCATTGAGTCCATTCTGACTCATGGTGACCCCATATGTGTCAGAGTAGACATGTGCTCATAGGATTTTCAATGGCTGATTTTTGGAAATAGACTACCAGGTCTTTCGGGATAGACTTGAACTTTGTGGGGTTGGTTTGTTTGATCTGTAGTAGAATACACAGCAGGGTTCCAGATTTATCCCATCCTTATTTCCTGCTGCACACACTCTTAGATTCTCAATAAATCACTGCTGCCATAACCACCTTCTTCTTCTTCTTTTTAAATTGTGCTTTAGGTGCAAGTTTACAGAGCAGAGTTTGTTTTACATTCAACATTTCATGTACACTTAGTTTCACTCCCCAGACTTGAACTTTACCCCTTTCTGTTAGCAGCTGAGCATGTTAAGCATTTGTATCACCCAGGGATACCTGAGAATGTATATCTGAATGAAACTCATGAGTGAGGACCCTAGAGGTGACTATGTGGTAGAGTGTATCTCCAAGAAAAGCATAGTGTGTGTGTGTGTGAGAGAGAGAGAGAGAGAGATAGAGAGACAGTGTATGTGCACACATGTGCACATACGTGTATGCACACACATCTGTGCATACTCTTGCACATGTATACCTTTTTTGTCAGCAACATGTGCATATCTGGATTAAAAAAAGCCACCTTTTCATGGCTATGGCCTTGTATCTTGGCATTCTTTTATATTCCCTTCTTTGTTATCTATTTCTGCTTTTTTCACCCTCTTCTTTTCTATTTTTTTAAATTAATGATGGCAATAGAAGAGACTCCATTAGGTTACCTTCATCATAAAAATCCTGCATATTTTTATTCTTGCTTGAGTTCTTTTTCCCCCATTAGTTTTCCATCTGTAGACCCATTTCCCAACCAATCCTTAGAATTAGGAAATGCTGAGCAGAAATGTGCTAGTGACTCACCCCAGGGTAAGGTATATGAGTTAGTGTCTGAGTCAGAGCCCCATCTCCTGTGCCCAACTCTCTGTTCTTTCCTGCAGCATTGTCAAACTTTTTTTTTAGGGCAAGTTTTCTTGAATTAAATTTTGAACAGAAAGTCCAACATAGAAAACTATGAACGTAGAGCTGCTCTGATAGAAGCAAGAGTCTGTCTCTCTCTGTCCCTCTCTCTCTCTGTCTCTTTCTCTCTCTCTCACACACACACACACACACACACTTCCTACCCAATTGCTGCTTAACTATGTAGTCTGAAAGTGATGGGATTAACATGAATATTTTTCTAATGAACCTGCCCCTACCCTACCCTATTGAACATTCTACCATTCAACAAGGCCATTAGAGACCAGAGGCACATAGCTTGTTCCACATAGCACATATCACACTGGAAACACTCAAAAAATACTAAGCAAGTTGTCACAGTTAAAAAAATAATCCTCCCACTGGAACTGATGAGGTTTTTTTTTAATCTCCCTTTTTAAAACCTAATTTATCTCTCTCCCTAGAACCCCACTGATGCTTGCAGTAGCATATGGCCACATCGATGCTGTTTCATTGCTACTTGAGAAGGAAGCAAAGGTAGATGCTGTTGACATCATGGGATGCACAGCTTTACACAGAGGGGTATGTACATCTTTCTCAGCTTTAGTCAAGCAGCTGTGCACTGAGCTTGCTGCTGCTTTTTTTTCCCCTTCATATGTATTTTCAGTAAAAAGATTCTTTCCTACAATAACCAATTAATCTCAGTCAATCAAAAAGAAATTACAGAATCTTTTGCAAAGGTGAAATATGGCAGCTACCTCTTTGGTCCTGCTCTTGAGATTTCATGTTAGATTGTGATAATAGATACATGAATACCTACTGTTGGTGGAATTGGTTCTGCTTTCTGATTACAAAATACAGTCACATCATGGAAAAAATGTAAAGTAGGAAAAAGCACAGAGGAGAAAATCGCAGTGGCCTCCTGGAGCTAAACGCTTTTGGTACATGTATTTCCAATCCTTTTCCTATTGTGGATTTCTTTTTTAATTAAAGAGAGAGATAGAAAAAAATACTGAAAACACTAGTTTGGAAGCTGCTTTTTTCCTTTAGTATATAAAAGGCCTTTTTCCATGTCACTTTTTGTACCATCGTTTTTAAAGCTCCATTGTATGCATATGCTGTATAATTTGATTCAGTGGTTCCTAGCTTTGAATAGTCATGCAGTTTGTAATTGTTCTTTCTTACAAATGATTCTGAAATATATATCCTTGTGGACATTCTTTGTACACATCTGTTGAACTGCTTTTTAAAGCATGTCAAATAAACTAAATTAAACAAAAGCAGAAATCATAAAATCACTATTTTGGGATGGTGACGAACATCTTGACAATTGTAAAAAAGAGAAACTCTAAGTGGTCAATGCCATAAGTATAGTTCTAATTTATTAGGCATTTCCCATGGGCCACACCACAGGCTAAGAGTCTTTCCATCAATAACAAGTGGGTCATTATTACTACTCACATTTACAGGTGAATCAAGGGAGGCACATAGAGGCAAATTGACTTGTCCAATATTTGTAAGGGGTAGGGAGAACCAGGATTTAATCCACATCTTCCTGTTTCTAAAGCTAATGCTTTCAACTTGCGTCATGATACTTGTCTTGGTTATGTTTGGAGAGTCAAGAGATGTTTCCAAAATGGTAGTGTTCACAGGCATTGCCTTTATGAATCTGGTTGGGATTGCTCTGCCTCTCTCCTCTAAAGGAAGGCAGAGTTCTACCCCCAAGTTCAGGCCTATGTCTGTTTAAGGTAAGCCCAGCCTCACTTAGCTGAAGGCCTCATTTACTGAGTCTTCTGCCTATTTGAAGTCTGTTTTGTGTTTTTAATTGCTGTGCATTAGATTATGACGGGACATGAGGAATGTGTACAAATGCTGCTGGAACAAGAAGTGTCAATTCTCTGTAAAGATTCCAGAGGGCGGACGCCTCTGCACTACGCAGCTGCTCGTGGCCACGCCACGTGGCTGAGTGAGCTGCTCCAGATGGCACTTTCTGAAGAGGACTGTTCTTTCAAAGATAATCAAGGCTACACGCCACTGCACTGGGCCTGTTACAATGGTGAGTTACTGGTCATTTGACGAATTCCACTAGATTTCCTTAAAATGGCACAACAGAGATCTATGTCATATCTGATCAGCTGATGAGCTCTGTGATCTCAGCAGAGGTGAAGAAATAGGCTAATGCTGTAAACCATGGTTTCCAATCTTTCTAGATACCTTTTTTTTAAATAGTTTTCCCTCACTGCTACTATGTTTTAGAAAACACCTTAATTGAATAAAAACCCACTTTCCAGTTTTTGTTATTCAGTGACTGCCAACGGGGCAGGGGGGCTGCGTCTTCTGACCTCCTCTAACTGCACAAGAAGAAGGCAGAATCACCATCAGTAGCCCAAGGGCTATCCCTGCCAGACATGCTGCCTCCCTCCAGTCCTTTCACCAACCCTGACACCCACGTTTCCTCCCCACCTCTCTGCTGGGTTTGAAAATTCACTGCAGTGGCCACACAGAACTTACAGATTATGGGGTTTATTCGGGAAGCAACAGGCTACAACTCAAGTTCAGGAACACACTCAGTCTCTCAGACTGCGGTCTCTCAGCCAACAGTTTCTCTCAGTCTCTCTCCCAGCAGCGCATGTCTCTCGGTCTCTCTTCCAGCAGCGCATATCTCTCATGTCTCCCAGCTGGCAGTGAGAGATTCCTTCTGCCTCTAGGAGGGCTCCTTTTTGACCTGGCAGAGTGACCAAACTAACCAATCCCAACATCAGAATTCTATACACCTGAGAGAGAGTGAACTTCCACTTCCCAGAAGATTGCTTTGTGCTGCTCCCAGCAGAAATACCCCAGGTGAATAACTTTAACAGTCAGGAGCTACTCAGTTGCTCATGCCAAATTCCACCTAGAATTTACAAAGACTTACAGCTAGAAAAGCCACACTACGTAATTTGCTACACCACAGTAACAGAACTTCTAATGAACTGAAATAACCAATCTTAACCAGGTTCTGATCTACATGAAATAATCGGGATCCCACAAGGAATTATAATAATACAGCACATATATATCTATTTATGTGTTTATTTATATATATATTAAAAACTCACTGCCGTCAAGTCGGATCTGACTCATAGTTACCCCTCCTTGGATTTCTGAGGCGGTATCACTACAGAAGGAGATTGCCTAATCTTCCTTCTGAGGAGCAGCTGGTGGGTTTGAACCACCAGCCTTCTGGTTAGAAGTTAAATGCCTTAGGCATTGCACCACCAGAGCTCCCATGTATATATACTAGCTGTATTATTTTATTGTATATGTAATGTAATAAATCTGTCACAACTGATTACTAGTAGATACATGATTTGGCTCAAAAGGAAAGGTATTTCCTTTTTTTTTGGTCTCATATTTCTCATTTGTTTTATTTGTTGTTTGGGAGTTTTAAAAAATTATTTTACTTCTTTGATTAAGAAAGAAATGCATGTTGTTAATTCTAATAATTAAAAAATACTGAACTGTCTAAAATAATTAAAATTAAGTCTCTATCTCTATCCTACTTTCTAATGTAATTTGGTATATATCTTTCATACTTTTTCATTACAAATATAAATTATGTACATCTATTTTTTAAAACTGAAATCAAACAATAAATATCATTTCTATAATGATATATCTTTAATTTAACCAAAATATAACTTTCTCTTTTTTTGTTTACTTAACATTCTGTTGTAGATATCCTTACAAGTTAATATATATAGATTGGTCTTCTAAATAGTTGAATATTAGTATATTTACTTATTAGAATGTATTCAACCAGATCCCAATTGAAGGACCTTCAGATTGTTTTCAGGATTTTTTTCTGTTACAGTGCTGCAGACTATGTTCATATTATAGTGCTTTAAATTCTGTCAGATGTTGTTGTTGTTGTGTTGTTGTTATGTGCCATCGAGTCAGACCTGACTCATAGTGACCCCTCCTTGGGTTTCCAAGGCAGTATCACTATGGAAGTAGATTGCCCAACCTTCCTTCTGAGAAGTGGCTGGTGAGTTTGAACCTCCAGCCTTCTGGTTAGCAGTCAAATGCCTTAGGCACTGTGCTACCAGAGCTCCTAATTCTGTCACATAAGTTCCTGAAATTATTGAGGTAAAAGGCATGGGTGATACATGTGAAATTTTAATTTTAATAAATTCTACCATATTACTTTGCAAAAATGATACCGTAATTTATTACTCCACCAAATGTGTATATCAAAGTTAGTATTTTCCCACACCCTGCCAGCCCAAGATAATACCAACTTTTTTATTTTTGTTAATTTGAAGGGGGAGAAAAAAGGTATCTCATTGTTTTAATTTGCACTTCTCTGTCTAGTAGTATGTTTATTGCAGGGCTTCCAGTCAGTGCCTCCCAGTTTGAACCCCTGCTGAGAATTTGCTTTTCCACCCCAGAAATGCTGAATAAGAATCTATATTTCAGCAAGATCTGCATTTCAACAAGATCCAAGGATCTTGTTGAAATGTCAATATATCTGCGATGGAAATGCAAATTCTCAGCAGGGGTGGAACCCTGATTTATTGGTTATTAGCATTTTCTCTTGTGGAAATTAGCTTTTCTATCACTGCTCATTTTTTTTCCTGTTGAGTTGTTTAACATTTTCATTTGTGGGGCATCTTGTCCTGGAGATAAGAGTCTTTTGTGTATTATGTGTGTTACAAATGTTTTCTCTCTTAGTCTACCATTTGACTTTGTTCCTTGTCTTTATGATGTCTTTTTCCATGTGGAGATTTTGTGAAAATCAGTCTGTCAGATTTTTCCTTTACGCTATCTAGGTTTCCATTCTTGCTTAAAGAGGTGTTCCAGAACCTAGAGTAGATAGACATTTTCCCATATAGTTCTTACTCTGCTTATATAAGTTTGTTTTTCTGTTTTCAATTCTGTTGTTAAATTTTTTTTCTTTCTTTTTTTTTTTTAATTGTGATTTGGGTGAAAATATACAGAGCAAATTCACTTTCCATACAGCAGTTCACATACACTTTGTCTCATGACATTGACCAATGCAACATCTCCCCTCATACTTCCTCCCGATAGTTACCTCTTCCCAGTGTCCATCCCTCCATGC